TGGAGTTTTCTCAAAAAGTTAAAAATAGAGCTACACTACAACCCAGCAATCACACTACTGGGTATTTATATACCCTAAAGATACAACTGTAGTGATCTGAAGGGGCACCTGCACCCCAATGTTACAGCAGCAAAGTCCACAATAGTCAATTATCGAAAGAGCACAGATGTCCATCGACAGATGAATGGGTAAAGATGATGTGGTGTACATATACAATGGAATACTATGCAGCCATCAGAAAATGGAATCTTGCCCTTTGCAATGACGTGGTTGAAACTAGAGGGTATTATGCTAAGCAAAATAAGTCAATCAGAGAAAGACAATTAGCATCTGATTTCACTTATATGTGGAATTTAAGAAACAAAGCAGAGGATCATAGGGGAAGGGAGGAAAAAGTAAAATAAGATGACTTGAGGGTTGCTTGGGGGGAGGAAGGTAGGAGGATGGGTAACTGGGTGATGGGCATTAGGAGGACACGTAATGGAATGAGCACTGGGTATTACATGCAACTGATGAATCACTGAACTCTGCCTCTGAAACTACTAATACACTGTATGTTAATTAATTGGATTTAAATAAAATAAAATAAAATAAATGGATCAACAAACCTCCGATACTCCTCCCTTCAAAAGGCGGAGACTAATCCCCTCTCAAGCATAGGACTAACTGGATCACTAGTTCCGGGGACAGTCAGCTGCCATGCTCACAAGATACTCACGCAGCTACGGAGAGGTCCAAGTTGTGAGCTTCAAGGCCTCCTACCAACCACCAGCCACATCTTGCCAGGCATATAAATTAGCAGCCTTGGAAGTGAAACCGCCAGCCCTGGTCAAGCCTTCGAATCGTGGCAGCTCTGACTGACAGCTTGATTGCAATCTCATGAGAGATTCAGAGCCACAACTGCCCGACTAAGCAACCCCCAAATTCCTGGATCTGAGAAACTGTGAGATAATCTGTGTTTGTTGTTTGAAGCTACTAAGTTTTTGGGTAATTTGTTACACAGCAATAGATATAATAATACCAAATAATTTTGGATTTCCATTTTGTTTATTTTATTTAGAAATGTTTATTAAAATGAACACGTATTATGAGAGGAATCAAAACCGAGGAAGAAATGAGCCAGAGAACAGTGGAAAAACAGCTCAGTCTGAAGTTCATTAATTCAGCTGTGGATCCTTAGATGGGGATGCTCTGGTTTCTTAGCAGTTTTCCTGAAGCTTCTTTAAGGGCTTTAGCGGACCTCAGGTGTATTTTGACTTGCCATCAAAAGCCCACTACCTGGGGCACCTAGGGAGCTCAGTGGGTTAAAGCCTCTGCCTTTTGGCTCCGGTCATGATCCCAGGCACCTGGGATCGACCCACATTGGGCTCTCTGCTTGGTGGGGAGCCTGTTTCCCCTCCTTCTCTGCCTGCCTCTCTGCCTACATGTGATCTCTGTCTGTCAAATAAATAAATAAAATCTTAAAAAAAAAAAAAAAAGGCCACTACCTTCCTGGGCTGTGTTCATGGGAAGGTAGATCTGCATCATGGAATGTGACATTGTGGTTCCCCCACACCCCACATCAGACCGGATCTGGGCATTAGACACTGATGTCTAGAAGCTGTTGAAGGCCCAGAAGTTCTCTCTTCCTTCTTTTGAGGGCCTCTTGTCTCATAGCTCTTTTCTCAGCTGTGCACTCCAACAAGACTGGACCTTGTCAGCGTCCCAGACACTCCATGCTCTCTCTCATTGCCTAGATGGCTCTTCCTGTCCCTGTGCTGTCCCCAACCCTCCCCCCTGCGACCCCATGATGCTGCATTTCCTGGTGAGCAGACTAAGCTCAGAGCATGAGCAAAACTCTCCCAATTTTTCCTTAATTTTATAAAAAGTTTTATTTAGGGGTGCCTGGGTGGCTCAGTTGGCTGGGCAACTGCCTTTGGCTCAGGTCATGATTCCGGAGTCCTGGGATCGAGTCTCACATCGGGCTCCTTGCTCAGCGGGGAGTCTGCTTCTGCTTCTTCCCTCTCCCTCTGCTGCTTCTCCCTCTGCTGCTCCCCTGTTTGTGCTCTCTCTGTCCCTCGCTCTCAAATAAATAAATAAAATCTTTTTTTTTAAGATTTTATTTATTTATTTGACAGACAGAGATCACAAGTAGGCAGAGAAGCAGGCAGAGAGAGAGGAGGAAGCAGGCTCCCCACTGAGCAGAAAGCCCGATGTGGGGCTTGATCCCAGGACCCTGGGATCATGACCTGAGCCGAAGGCAGAGGCTTTAACCCACTGAGCCACCCAGGTGCCCCAATAAAATCTTTTAAAAAATTAAAAAGTAAAAAGATTTATTTGTCCATTTGAGAGAGAGAGAGAGAGCACATGAGCCAGGGGAGGGGCAAAGAGAGAGAATCGCAGACTCCCCGCTGAGCACGGAGCCAGACATGGGTCTCAATCTCATAACCACCAGATCACCACCTGAACCTAAATCAAGAGTCAGACACCCAGCCAACTGAAGCATGCAGGCACCTCCCCTAATATTTCTTTAAAACTTTGGCATTTGAATAGCCCTGTAGCTGCTTACCTGACCACAGGGAGATCTCTCCAGGAAGTCTCCCCAGACCTCATGCTGGGTAGGGGCCTTGCCTTCTGCTCTATGTCAGTCCAAATCTTTCCTGTTTGGCCTTGTGAATGCTTCCTTGTTACTGCTGGCTGGTTGCTGGTTTCTTGGACAGACTATAAGCCATGGAGGGCAGCATCAACCTTGCTTGTTCTCTACTGTGGCCCCAAGGTCTGACACAGAGTAAATGCTCTGTATAGACCTGAGCAATCTCTCCAAATGTCTGAAGGGCTGTATGAGGGAGAAGAGCCTTTCTCTTTGTAACCACAGAAGGCAGAGCTAAGACAAATCAAAGTGAGTATCAGATTTTGTTTCTAAATCAGGAGGAATCTTCTAATAATATAGGTTGCCAATGAGGTAGTGAGCTGTAATCACCAAAGGAGTTTCCAAGAAGCCTGGTAGGCTCTCTGTGAGGGGTGGGCTGCAGAATCTCTGAGTTTCTGGGATCCCAGGGCTTTTGAGGAAGTCATGAGGTGTCTTTTTGGTGGGGGAAGGGCAAGGAGGTAAATTTGTTTTTCTCATTTGAGGAACTTGCTTGTGATTCAGCTGGTCAAGTTCACCCACCCACACTTCCTCTTCCCAACCCATCTCTTCTCCTACCCGAGAGAAGCCTTATGGTTGGCACTGGTGACACCTGGTGGCCATTTGGACTAGGAGCGAAGCCGCCCTATCATCAACTGGTCCATCTGATTCATGGCTAAATCCCAGGGCAATGCTTGCTACGCAGGAGGCCCTCACCTTTGAGGAATGAATGAATACAGACAGTAAAGAGGAGAGGAGGAATATATACTGCCTCTTTGGGCCTGGAGACTTAATCAAGAGGACCAACCAAACCTGCAGGAGACAGCTGGAGAATTCATGCACTCAGGGATATACAGACAAAAGGGCCTCTCCTCTCTCTCCTTCCTCCCTCCTCTGTCCTATGTCCTAGGGGCACATGTGAAGGGAGGAAAGGGCTATTTTGAGAAAAGGTTAAAGTTAACCAAAAGCTGTTCCTGCATCTTAGCTTAACTGTGCTCTAGAGCTATGGGCTTGGTTAGACATGCCTGGGTAAGGCTCCTTTCAAAAAGAGGACTTAGAGGCGTGGAGAAGGCGGGAACCTGCCTAAGGCCCCATAACCAGATTGTAGCAGGGCCGGGAACCCCAGCTTCAGTTCTTTAGGTCAAATCATAGAATTTGACCACCTAAGATAGAAACAGAAAGGAAAGGAGCCATTGGTGTGGAGCCTAGAGGAACAAGGCTGACAGGATTCACAAGCCATGGGAGACTCCCCCAGCATGCATCTAGGCCCTTCCAGCACTATCTCTACCCCAAACCGAATGGGTATTCCCTCCCCACTCTCTCAGAGCCCACCTCTCAACCAGTCTGCTTTATATCCAACGCTTCAACTGGATGGACAGTGTTCGCCTCCCAGAGCCTGATTTTCCTAATCTGCAAAGGGATTATTGAAAGTGTGAGACAGGCTTCATGCCAAATGCTTAGAGTGGGGTTCGGTGTGTGGTAAGCATTCATTAAGAATCAGTGGGGTAGGGGCGCCTGGGTGGCTCAGTGGGTTGAGCCGCTGCCTTCGGCTCGGGTCATGATCTCAGGGTCCTGGGATGGAGCCCCGCATCGGGCTCTCTGCTCAGCAGGGAGCCTGCTTCCTCCTCTCTCTCTACCTGCCTCTCTGCCTGCTTGTGATCTCTCTCTGTCAAATAAATAAATAAAATCTTTAAAAAAAAAAAAAAG